TAACGCTGGTCACTTTCATACAATGCTATTGAACAGACAAGTAATTTTTTTCTGGAAAGCAGTTTGCAGTTCACATCAAAAACAATCCTGAGAAACAAATATATCATGTCCCTTTCCTTCATCTTCAGAGCCTTGGGGGATGCTGAGCATTCTGCCTGAATGCTCTTCCCCATCTCTTCCCTGGATCATTCCTCCTCACCTTTCAGAGGCTGAAGCTCAGGTCCTCACGGCAGCCTTCCACAACCTACAGTCTAGACCAGATCTTCTTTTTATAGCCTTATCTATAAATAGAAGGCTGGGAGCCAATTAGGGGGAGAAGGCTGAGTGTCTCGCCATTCAGTATGTGGACTTTCACTTAGCTCCTCTATGATCTTTATGGTACTCCTGCCCTCTCCTATGCATCGTGTTTCCCCATCCATCTCTGTTGTATCCTCTCTGGAGACTAAGCTCCATCCCCCCGCAGGGTGGGGGAAGGGTGGCCAGCCAGCTGCTCAGCATGGAGGAAGGGATCCTTGGGCGACTGCTCTCAGTCAGCTCTCCTGTTTTCAGCTCCACCTTCTCTCCCACTCTCAGAGGTAGTTGGTGCCTTCACTTCTTGTCATTTGCTTGTGCTTTTTTGCTTTTCTGGATCATCCAAAATGAATTACTTTCACAATCAGAAAAAAGCCCCTAACTTTTTTAAATTTAAAATTTCATACCTTTTGACCCAGTAATTTCACTTCTTGAAATGTCTTTCTTTTAAGGAAATAGGCAATTTGGAAAATATTTATGTACAGGCATCTATACCACAGTACAATTTATAACAGAGGATAATTAGTTGCAAACAATCTAAAAATTCAATTATCAGGGTCATGTTTAAGTAGATAATAATAAAGACATATGATAAAACCATTAAGTGGTGTTTCCAAAGATATTTGATGACATGGGGAAAAGGCTTATGATTTAAAGTAAAATGAAAAAAGCAGAATATGAAATTACAGGTACACCTTTACTCAGATTTTATTTAAAAATATACGTGGAAGAGGCTGAAAGGAATTACTTTTGAGTATTAACAGTTATTATCCCTAGATGGTGGGATCTCATTGCCTGCAATGATCATGCATGAAATTTATACTCTGGAAGAAAATTTCTATATATGGAGAAGAGAAGAAAATAGAAAAGTTAATGTAATCCTAGGTTGCATTAGTAGAGGTAGAAGTTCTGAGGCAAGAGAGGTGATCATCTGGATTCTGATCACCTGGAGCATCATGTCTGGGAGTACCACGTCTAGCACCCAGGGGAGGGTGGCACATGTTGAAAGTGGATGAAATGCAGGTTGGCCAGAGACTTCTGGAAATCAGAGTCAGCTGAGGAATAGGGGAAGAGCAGGCTCAGGACCTCAGGACTGGCCTGGTGGCTATCTGCATGTGGCTGCAGTGCTCGTATGGGAAGGACGGAACAGTTGAGCCTCGTGCAGCCAGGGCTAGTGGGGAGAGGCTGTAAGGCGGAGAAAGAAGTTCCAACAATCCTGTGACGGATACCTCTTCCTGCAAACGTCAGTGGTCACGCTGAGCTTAGTGTGAAAGGGAAATGAAGGACTCCAGTCAAGGCACTGGAGGTCAGTGTTGGAATCACGAGGTCAGCAACCCAGTGGTCAGTGAGCCAGCACGTTAGATTCAGAAGTTTTGACATCACCCAGCCTGACAGCTCTCTGCTGTGTTTATACACGGCCCGTGACGTCCACATGCTCCCGTGGGTCACAGATAAGATGGCCTCGGGTTCTGCAGAATTCCCAGCACGCTCCACAGAACCCCAGCCCTTTCTTGCCTACTCAGAAAGGCAATGTGAGTTCAAGTGACTGGAATCAGCCTCATTATAGAAATAACCTTGAATCTGTTCTGATTCATGAAAAACAGCACATCACTTGTGAGCTTCAGATCAATGACTAGTGACAAGTTACTCCGTGCCATGGTCCTCATACCTAATTGCCACATACCTGTTTCCCATGCAACCTTTCATTTCAGAATGAGGGCCAGAGAGGGGAAAGGACCATAGGGAAGTGAGTGTGGGTGGTGGGAGGCGAGAGTCAAGCCTCCTATGGCTCTGTCTGTGACCGGAAATTGCCTGTTACCCACCTAGATTTTGGTGGTGGCGGGGGGAATAGGCTGGTGGGAGGAAGAAGGAGCCAGAGGATGAAGTGAGATGTGAATCTGCTGTGTTCCATCCAGGCCACATCACCAAGGAGATGCCCGAGTCCAATATACACTTAATGTTCTCCTGGGCCTCCCCTACCAGAGCTTGGAGGTGAGGTGGGGCCGGTAGCGTGGTAGTATGGGTTGAATCGTGTCCCCCCAAAAATGTATGCTGAAATCCTAACCCCCAGTACCTCCGAATGTAACCTTATTTGGAAACAGGGTCTTTACAGAGGTGATCAAGTTAAAATGAAGTCATTAGCGTGGCCCTAATCCAATACTGGTGTCTTTATAAAAAGAAGACCTTTGGATGTGGAGACAGATATGCACGCAGGGAGAATGCCATGTGAAGATAAAGGCAGAGATGGTGACTCTCCCTCACAGCCCTCAGAAGGAACCAACCCTGCTGACCCCTTGATCTTGGACTTCCAGCCTCCAGAACGGTGAGAGAATAAATTTCTGAAGCCACTTAGTTGGTGGTCCTTTGTTACGGCAGCCCTAGGAAGTGAACGCGGGTTGGATGGAGCTTGCAGCCCTCTTTATTGCGTAAGTCTTTACCCTACCCCACTGCGCCCACCCCACTCTGTGTGGTCTCATCCTCACTACTCTATCTTCACCCTTAAATCCCAGGCCATTTGCTCCTGTGTTTGTGCGGCCACCAGTCCAGGACCCAACCCCAGCCTTGCCAAATTCCAAGCCCTGGGCCCTGGCCTGACCCCAGCCCCAACACCAAGCTCAGAGCAGGTGAGCTTTGAGGGAGGGGAAGAATGCCCTCCTCGCTCACCTAACCTGTCTTCTCCTACTTTTACAATCTAGGGATGGTAGGGAACACCCGAAACACAGGCTCCCAGGGCCCTCGGGTTGGGCTGGCTGTAGGAGACCAACCTCTAACCCACAGGTATGGCCTCTCACCCTGGCTGGGGAAGAATCCCTTGGAAGAAGACCTCAGTCTCCTGGAGTTACACCCTTCCGATGTGTGAACAGCCTACTTTCTACCCAGTCTAACTCAGTCTTTCATTGCATAGCCAAAGTGAATGCAGGGCTAGGCCCATGGAGAATAAAAGTGACTCCTTGGTGATTCTTAGAGACTCACTGGGGAGACGAAATAGATCATACTAAGCAGTGGTCCAGATTCCTGAGATGTAGAGATTGCTACTAGAGACTGGCTGGAGAAGTCAGGGAGGGCTTCCTGGAGGAGGAAAGAACTATGATAGCCTAGCTGGAGATGGTGAGCTGAATTTCATTGCCTGACTACTAGGAGCCAGGCACCCTCAAATACTTTCTCTTATTTTAATTTCTTGTCACTTGTGAGGCAGAAAAGATGTTATCTGCATTTTATAGGTGAGAAAATTGAGACTCAGAGAACTAAAATGTTTGACTGTATATATTAGAGGCAGCATTTAAACTGAGGATCCTCTGATATCAAAGCTCATCTTACTCTTTCTTCTGCACTCAGCCTCCGCCTTTTCCAGGGTACAGTACTGTTTAAAGGACTGGTGGGGTTTGGAAGTGTGGAGGAAGGGGTACGCCAGCCTGGCAAAGGAGCAGGGTGATAATACACCGGGTGACTTTGAGGAGCTGTGAGAAGGCTGGTCTGATTGGATCTCAGGGATTCAGAGGGAACAAGCGGAACCAAAGCTGGATGAGTAAGAGGGCTGTAACTTATCAGGCTGAGTATCCAGACTTGGTGGGTAAGTAGTGAGTGAGTGAGTTAGTTCTGGGATGAAGGATACAGTGTTGGTGTTTCGACGATCTTGATGGGAGAGGGGCCAAGTTGCCCACCTGCTGTAAAGGCTCTCGAGGAGAAGCATGTAGCCATGTGAGATGAACCGCATTCCCTCTTCCAACCCCAGCCCCAGATCTCCCTGGGTAGGGGAGGACAACAGCTTGCCTCTGAGGGTCATTACCTGAGTGCTCCATCCACCCGCTCACCTTCCACACGGAAGGTCAACTCTGCCAACACTGAGCCCATCCTCAGTCATACCTCCCACATCCTAGATGGCTCATCAGGTCCTAAGCACCCCCCGACCCCCTGACCATTCCCTTCCTCCATGCCTTTGCACAAAGAGTTTCCTCTGCCTGAATACTATGTCCTCTTCCCCTCTCTAGTGAACTCCTATTCACTGTCAAGATCCAGTTCAATTGTTCATTTTTTTTTTTTTTCTGCAAACGTTCTGACTCAGAGGCAAGATTCGGTCCCTCCACTGGACCCTGACAGTCCTTCCACGTCTCTATGCTGCCACTGTCTGTTCTCACTGAGTGAGTTTCAGGTGCATGGGCGGAGATCGGAAGCAGGCCCTTGAGTTGCTCCTCGTGGTGGGCAGACTAGAAAGGGCCATGGTAGGATAGGGTAAGTCATCTAAACCTGCCTCCCCAAATACCAAGGGGTCTAGGATGAGGCAGGAGGGGCTGCAGGGCCCATTTGAGCTGGACTCAGAAGGGCTTGGCTGGCAGGCAGGCTCTTGGGGAGCAGAGCGTCCAGTGAGGAGGCCCACTGCAGGGGGCAGTGTGGCCGGACACTGGATGGCCATGGGCAGAAGGGGTCAGACACTGCTTTGGCCACTGATTAGTGGGCAGGTTGAGGGGGCTGGGGCAGTGGGGATGGGAAGAAGAGGGCGGGGCCTGAGGCATTTCAAAAGGCAGAGTGTTTAGGACCCAGGGCTGCTGAGAGGCAGAAGGTACGAGTTTGAGGGTTTAAGGCTGGCTGGAGGTGGGGTTGCAGAGGCCAAAGACAGATGATGCAGATGATGCCCAAAGCCTGGGCAAAGCAACTGCACCCCCCAACCCCCAGCCCGAGGCACAGCACAACAGCATCAAGACACACCTAGCTTGTGGTCAAGTCCTGTTTATTTTAGAAGCATAAACAGCAGAACTAGGCAGGAGTGACAACAACAAGACACCAGTCCTCTTGACAGGGCCGAATCCAGCACAGGCTCTGTGTGTGTGTGATCAAGGCCCACCCAGCAGCCTCGAGCAGCCTTTTCCCAGGAGGACAGAGTGTGAGGACAACCTGGTGGAGGTGCATCTTCCATGAAGGTGGGGTGGGGTAAATTGTCTCTGGGTCCCTCTGATCCAGGTGAAGAGGGCCAGATGGCCCACATCACTCTTGGCCAAGAGCACCCCAAACTGGCTCTCTCCGTGCCTGGGGCAAAGCTATCATCTGCAAGGGAAACTGTGGCACCCTCTGGGCACTAGGAGGACTCCAGGTGTTCAAGATCAACGTGCAATGAGGCCCTGTGGCTGGCAAGCACCTGTTCCCCAGCCCCAGTCATCTCCGCAGAGCCTGCAAGGAGAGGGCATCTGAGGCAGCCAGATTTCCCGGGGCCGCACTGTTGGGTGACACAACCCCAGGCTCCTACACATACTGCTTCTTGGAAGCAGAGCTGCTGGGGCGACTGGGGGATTTCCGGCCACTCTGCCGGGGTGGGTCCAGGAAGAGGGGGGGCCTGGAAGAAGCCAGCCTCTCCTCCGTAGTCAGGTTGGCCCAGTTCTGTTCACTGGACGAGAGCCCATTGTAGGTGGGGCATGGGGGGGATGAGGGCCCCTCGCCCATGGGGAGGTAGAAGAAGACCTGGTCCTCGTAAGGCTCCGAGGAGGTGCCCTGGGCTGGGGGGGCGTCCTGGCCCTGTCGGGCCCTTTCCCCTCGGCTGAGGCAGCGGCACAGCAGGTGCACCAGCTCCAGCAGGTTGAGCACCAGGGAGATGAGTCCGACCACCAGCATGAAGATGATGAAGATAGTCTTCTCCGTGGGGCGCGAGACGAAGCAGTCTACGCGGTAGGGGCAGGGTGGGCGCTGACACACAAACACGGGCTCCATGGCCCAGCCGTAGAGACGCCACTGGCCGTACAGGAAGCCGGCCTCTAGCACGCTCTTGCAGAGCACGCTGGCCACATAGGTGCCCATGAGCGCCCCGCGGATCCGCAGGCGACCATCCTCCGCCACCGAGATCTTGGCCATCTGATGCTCTACGGCTGCCAGGGCCTGCTCCACGTGTGGGTCCTTGGTCGGCAGTGCCCGCAGCTCCCCCTCCTTCTGCCGCAGCTGCTCCTCGCGCCGGGACAGGTAAATGACGTGGCCCAGGTAGACCAGGGTGGGCGTGCTGACGAAGAGGAACTGCAGCACCCAGTAGCGAATGTGGGAGATGGGGAAGGCCTGGTCGTAGCAGACATTGGTGCAGCCCGGCTGGGCCGTGTTACACTCAAAATCCGACTGCTCGTCCTCCCACACCGACTCACCAGCCAGGCCCAGGATGAGGATGCGGAAGATGAAGAGCACTGTCAGCCAGATCTTGCCCACCACAGTCGAGTGCTCTTGGACCTGGTCCAGCAGCTTCTCGAGGAAGCTCCAGTCGCCCATGGCTCCCGGGCCTCCGTCTGCAAGGAGACAGAGGACACTGTCAAGGTGGCATCCTTCTCAGACATCCTAGCAATAAGCCTGCAGAGAGGTCGGTCATGCCCATTTTACCTACAGGGAAACTGAGGCTCAAGGAGGGGAAAAGACTGGCCTGGGGGCTCACACCCAGCAGAGTGGTCAGGACTAAAAGCAGATCTTCGGATGATGGCTGCTAAGCTCTGGCAAGGTTATAGCTAGGGTCCCTGTCTAGTCACACAACTGTGTCCCTCTTCTTCCCAGCCAAAGTCCCAGGATGACCACAGCCCAAGGAGATCTGGATCAAGTTGATGCTCCTGAGTCTATGGGAACAGAGAATTTGAGGAACTTATCCAAGGTCACACAGTTATGCCATGCCCCTCCTCCCTTTTGCCCAGGACAGGCTGTCCCCAGACAGTGGGAGGTGGTGGTGCCATCTTCAGCTTCTCAGGGGGCCCAAAGCCTCAGGTCCCTTCTCCCCTCCGCGGCATCTCTCCCCCAGCTGGCCTCACTCTAACCTCTGAGCTTGTGGTAGGGGTGGTGGGAGGGGTGTGAGACACTGAAGGCAGCATCCTGCACTGGCTCCACCTGCCAGCAATAGTGACCACCTGCAACTTAAGCACAGACACTTGATCCTGTCCTTTTTCTCCATCCCTCCCCCCTCAAAGCTGTTGCTGCCAAATTCTTGAAGGAATCGTCATAGCGTCATAGCGGGGTGGAGGCACAGGCCACCGAGTTCCCAGAACATCTGTGGGGGGAAGGAGGTGAAGAAAGGTAGGGGAAGGGAGAGGGGAGCAAAGCTGTTTAGAGCCAGGCTCTGGAACCAGACCTGGGTTCAAATCCCAACTCTCTAACTAACTGGGACCATGGATAAGTGACAACCTCTTAGCCCCTCAGTCTCCTCTCCTGTAAAATGGAAATAATAATATTCCTACCTCCTAAGGTTATAAGGATACAATGAAAGAAGGTAGGAACCTGGCTTAGCACAGAGCCTGGCCACAGCCAGGCTGGGTGAGCGTGGCCCTGGTGGTTCTCCCAGCAGCAACCCTCAGCCCCTGGCAGGTGGCTGACCCAACCGTGTCCCCCGCCCTCTCGTCCGCTGGCAGATGGGGCCCCGCCCCACCAAGCGCAACTCACCGCCTGCCTGCCGGGCGGCCCAGGTGGCGGTGGGGTCGCACGATGGCCGGAGCGGCGCCCGCGGGAGCCCTGCTGGACGGCGCCCGGCGGGGGCGCCTTAAATAGCGCCGAGGGGCGGGGTGGCGGCAGGAAACGGACGGGAGGGCAGCGGGCGCTGCTCGGGGCGGGGGCGGGGGCAGGGGCGGGGACCGGGAGGTGCAGACTCGCTGAAGCGCCTCTCGAGGAACGGCCAGGGAGGTGGCACTGGGAGTTGGGGGTGAAGGGGACTGAGAAGCCGCCTACCTTCCCCTTCTTCGCCCTCCCCGGTGTTCCAGCCGGTGGACTCTCCTAGCTTCAGTTTCTTTGGCTTTGGGACAGGAGTTCTCCAAGGCCAAGTTTTTTCAGGGCGGCAGGATTTGAAAGGATTGCAGCAAGAACTGCTGACCCCAGCAACCGGCCTGAGGGGCTGTGAGGGATGGGCAGATGGGGATGAGGGTGTGGGGGTCTCCAGGGATGGGCCTTTCCTTGACCCCGGGGCTTGTTGCCCTTGGTGAGGAGAAAGAAGGCAGAAGACCGCTGAGTTGTTAGGTGGTCACGCTGTGCCCCACGCTGTGCCAGGACTTGGCAATCCAGGCTCATTAGGACATGGGGTACCACGCTGGGAGAGAGGGGTTAGAATCTGCCCTCCCTGTGGTGGAGCTGAGGTCTCAACCCAGCCCGTATTCTTGCGGAATTCTCAAACCTCCCCACACCTGGGCAGGCTACTACATCACAGTGACCCACATCAGAGGTCACTAAGCATCTCGCCTGGACCACTTGAGACTGGGGAGGGGGGACGCTCGACCTTTAGCTTGGATCCCGTTCTCATGCCTCTAAGTGGCCGGCGGGTGGGGTGGGGGGCGGGCATCCAAAGGAATTAAAGGGGTGGGCAGAGCCTGCCCTTGTTCATGCAGGCATCACCCCTGTTAGTGAATAACGATCAGGGTCTGCTGTGCTGCAAGCATGGTGCATGGAGCTGGGGACAGACCATAAACCAGCCACATGTGCTCTCTGGCCTCCAGCTCTCACGGGCTGGTGCAGGAGGCAGGCACTGAGCATTTTGGCACTTGGCTAAGAGTAAAATTATAATGTGGAAAGTTCTGAGAAGCACAGGGTGACTCCCAGGGGACCAGGTTAGGCACGTTTCCTGGAGGACACTGCATTAGCCAGCTGGGGGGCGGCGTATTCCAGGCAGAAGGAACAGCGTGAGCAGAGGCCCCAGGACCTGGGCTGCGAGATCTTGAGACCTTGGCCACTGACCACAGGGTGCCAAGACTTCACTGCCTTGGTGGGCAGGGGCAGTAGAGCCTAGAAGTTGAGACTTTGCTGTTGACTCCTGTGCCCTTAGGCAAGTTGCTGAAACCCCTGTACCTCAGTTTCTTCCTCCATAGAATGGGGGAAGTAGTAGTTCCTACCGTGTAGGGTTGGCGGGAGATCCAGTCAAAGCACCTAGAATATTGGTACACAAGAAGTTTTCAAGTGAGTGGTGGCTAAAAACACTGTGACAAAACATTTGTGACAAAAAGGGTCTGTGGGTGGTCTTGGTGGCAGCAGAAAGGGCTGAGGATGGGGAAGCTCAGAGACCGAGTGGTGGTGGAGGGCTGGGGCGCTAAGGAAAGGGAATGTGGCAGGTGGGGGCCAAGGCCTGGGGCTGGTGGCATAAGGTCCCTGTTTCTCCACAACAGGATTCAGTCCTTGGACTCCAGTGCCCCCACACTGGGTCCCCAAGGGTCCTGCCTTCAGCCCTAGCAGGAGGACTTCTAGGGCAGCAAGTGTGGTGGGCTCGGCTCAGATCTCAGAACTTCAGGATCAGGCTGAGCCGGCTTCCCCTTCCAGGCCTGTCCCTCAGGGCCAGCTGAGCTCAGCCGCCTGGATTTCCAAAGCTGACAACTGCTCCCACTTAGTTCTGACCCCTGAGGGCATGAGAACGGAGGTCCCTAGAGACAGGTTCTCACCACGCTCCCACTGCAGCCTCTGCTCCCAGAATCCCTCTCTGCAGCCGGGCCCAGGCTCTTCCGAAGCCTTTGTAATCCCATCTACTGGGAAGGAGGGAGGAGCCAGTAGAGATGTCACCCTTCTGTCACCCCTTCCTCAGGGGCCCTGGAAGTCAGAGTCTGAATGACTTGGCCCCTTCTCGGGGAAAGGAGAAGCCGGGATCAGCCAAGACATTAATCCCCACAACCTGGCCATTCTGCCTGGGAATCATCCCTAGGACCCCACACCTCCCTCCGTTCCCACTGCCCTGACCCTGTTTGGGCCACATCTCAGTGGCCTCCCAACTAGTCTCGTGGCCTCCAGTCCTGTCCCTCCAACCCAGCCTCCACCCTTCCCCAGAAATCTGACCATAACACTGCTCTGCTTAAAACTCTTCTATGGCTCCCCATGGCCTCCTGGGGAGGCATCGCCCCCTCGGCCACTTCTCCAGCCTCATCCCTCCCCCCTTTCACTCCGTGATCCAGCCGCACTTAACTATGGTGGTTCTCTGTGCACTCTCGCCCTGTCCATGCCATTCCCTCAGCAGGGAGCACCCTCACGTGTGAGCACCCTCACCCTACGAGGTGTTCAGGACTTTGCTCAATGTCACCTTCTCCCAGGAGTCCCCTATCTCCACTGGGTTAGGTGGGCCTTTGTGCTCACAGCCCCTCCGACTGCCCCTGGGTGCACTGCTTTTCCATTTTATTTTTAATTGTGGCAAAAAACACATAACATAAAATTTGCCATCTTGGCCATTTTGAAGTGTACCATTGAGTAGTGTTAAGTACATTCACATTGTTGTGCAGCAGATCTCCAGAGCTTTTCATCTTGCAAAACTGACACTACACAGGTTCAACAACTCACATTTCCCCTCCCCCACCCGGGGTGCCTCGTTTGCCTGTCTTTACCCCTCCCCCATTAGACTGTGAGCCCCCTGAGGGCAGGCAGCTGGGTCTTGTTTCCATCTCCAGCGCCTAGCAGGGCTCCAGGCCCATGTGTGAATTGATCATTTACGGAGCACCCCCCAGTGCTGTGGCACTGTCCTAGATGCTGGAGATGAAGCAGGGAACAACAGAGATCCCTGTCCTTGTGAATTTTATATTCCAGCTGGAGGGAGACAGACAAAATAAAATATAGAAGCTGTTAGATGGTGATAAATGCTACGTGGAAGGTAAAGTAGGAAGGGAGAATTGAGGGTGCAGGGGGTGAGGAGAGCAATTTTCACTAAGCAGCTGACATTTGCCACCAGTCCTGAAGGAAGGAAGGGAGCCCTGTGGCTCTCTAAGGGAAAGAGCATTCCAGGCAGAGGGAAGGACAGTGCAAAGGCCCTGAGGCAGGAGTGTGCCTGCTGTTTCCTGCCTGGGGAACAGCAGGGAGGTCAGTGTGGCTGGAGTGAAGTGAGCAGGGAGAAGAGATGAGTTCAGAAAGGGAGCAGAGGCGGCATGGAGCGGGGCAGCACTTGCAGGCCACTGAAGGCCTGTGTGAGATGCCTTTGGAGGTTTTGGGCGGACGTGTGATCTGGCCTGACTTAGTTTTACAGGATCTCCCTGGCTGCTGTGCTGGGAATAGACTGTGGGGGTGGGTGGCAGACACGGACGCCCCTCTGCAACGTAGGACTCACTGCCCAGCTGTGCGGAGTCTGGTCAGCGGACAGCCTCCAGCCGTCAAGCCTGCTTCGGCTATCCAGGTGGCCGAGCTCTGCTCGGTTGGCCCCAGGACATGACTGAGCCAAGCGGTGGTCAAGGCCCGGCCATTTCCACCCAATGGGACTCCTCTAATGGACAATCTTGGTCTAGGAGACACGGAGCTCCCTGCGGCGGTCTTGTCGCCCAGTGCTGCTTCCTCCTCTTTCCGCTCACCCGTGTTACTCCCCAGTACGCTTTGCACTCAACTCCTAGTGTCGGCTTCCCAGAGGCAGGGGCTCCGGGATGCAGGGAGACCGTTGCAGTAATCCAGATGACAGGTGATGGGGGATCTTAGCTCAGGCTGCTGTAACAGAATACCACAGACTGGGGGACTTAAACAACAGAAATTGATTTCTCACGGTTCTGGAGGCCGGCTGTCCGAGATCAGGGCGGCAGCGTGGTCGGGCTCTGGGTGAGGGCCCTCTTCCTGGTTTAGACAGGGCTGTCTTCTCATTGTGTCCTCACATGGTGGGGAGAAAGATCATCCCTCTCATATTTCTTCTTATAAGGGCTCTATCCCATTCTTGAGGGCTCCACCCTCATGACGTAATCACCCCAAAGACCCCACCTCCTGACACTACCACATCAGGGTTAGGATTTCAACATATGAATCTTAGGGGGACACAGACTTTCAGTCCATAACAGGAGGCTTGCACCAGGGTGATGAATACAAAATAACCTGCTGTTGACCTTGGGCTGCAGGGTGGCTGCTACATCACACAGTAGAGGTGGACTTGAGGGCTGTGTATTTGAAATCTAAATCTATCATTTGCATGATTGAAGGAAGCTTGCGATGAATCCTCCTGTAATGGGGGAGGAGGAGGTGGAGGCCTGTACCCTAAGAAGAGAAGGCCAAGGGGACATGAGAGCCACCTTGTGGTGACAGTGATGCGCACTGGAGACTCTGGGTGGTGAACAGTGGCCCAACACATACTGGGTGAGAACAATGAGCTGCACTGCTTGGAACAGCTTTCAGGCCAAAGGCGGGATGGGCAGGGCTGGAACATTCCCTCATCCATGGTCCTGGCCCCCAGCCTGGAGAAGTGGGGCGAGAACTGGACGCCCAGTCCATGCTGGGATAGCTGACGATGTGATCTGCTTGCTCTGACCTGTAAGCCTCCTTGGTCGCCCTGGAAGATGCTGGAATGCATGGCAGCAAGGTGGAGATACCCCTCCCCGAGACCTTCGCAACCATCCAGTCCCAGCTGGGGCTCATGTGCAAAGTGGCCTGGGCAGCAGGCAAACTTTCCTAAGCATGGTGGTGCCTGGATATTATTGGATATGTTAGCACTGTACTCATGTGTTACTCACCGCGTCTCCTTTGATCTCTGTAACAATCCTAGGAGGAGGAACTGTCCTGAGTGCTGGGTGAATATGTTCCCTTTGCCCCTCAGA